ATATTAATTTTTATAATAAAATGATAATAATAACAACAACAACAATAATAATAATAATAATAATAATAATAATGATAATAATAATAATAATAATAATAATAATAATAATAATAATAATAATAATAATAATAATAATAAAATAATAATAATAATAATCTTCATTATCATAATATTGATAATATTGATAATATAGATAATATAGATAATGATAATGATAATGATAATGATAATGATAATGATAATGATAATGATAATGATAATGATAATGATAATGATAATGATAATGATAATAATAATGATAATAATAATAATGATAATAATAAAAATAATGATAATAATTAGTATTACTATTATTATCATCATTATTATTAATATTGTTATTAGTATTACTATTATACTATTACTACTTATTATTATTATCATATTTATTATTATCATTATTATTATCATTCTATTTTTATTATCATTATTATCATAATAATAATAATAATAATAATGATAATGATAATAATAATAAAAATAATAATAATGATAATAATAGTTATTGTTATAATGATAATAATAATAATAATGATAATAATAATAATAATCGATAGTAATGATAACGTAAAAAAATCATAATAATGATAATAATAATATTGATAATGATAACAGTGATGACAATAATAATATTGGTAATAATCTGAATTACAATACTAATACCAATAATAATGGTAATAATAATAATGATAATGATGAGGATGGTAATAAAGATCACAATGATAACAATAACAATAATATTACTACTACTACTACTATTATTAATAATGATAATGTTTGTAGAAAAATAATAATAGGTATCAAATTATACTTATTATGATAGTAATGATAATAAAAAAACAATGTTTATAATAATAACATTAATGATAATGATAATGAATATAATAAACAATAACAATAACAATAACAGTGGTAGTAGAAATGGTTATGATGCTATTAATGATGATGATAATAACAGTGATAATGATAATAATGATGATAATGATAATAAAAATGGTAATGGCTATACTACTACTACTAATTATAAACAAATATAAATAAAAATGATCATAATGATGATGAAAAGGATAATAATAAATATACTAATAATTGTGATAACGATGATGATGATAACGAAAATAAGAACAGTAATAATGGTAATGTTGATATAATAATGGTAGTATTAATTACAGATACAGTAACTGTGGTGTGACGATTTGCCGGATATGCTTGTAGGTTCAAATGAGACCAGGGATCACTTACCAAGTCTATATTAAAGTACACAGAGGAGCACTGCGGTGTGCAACCGTACAGTCATCTCGCGGGCGATGATCTGCCTGAGGCGCGTTGTTACTGGAACATGCCACTAGCAAACAAGTTGTTATATGAATGGAGGTAGATAGTTGCATGGTTAATATGATACAGAGGGTGACAATCAATGGTGAACATGTTATAGTACGGTATATACACAGACACTAATATATCACATATCTACACCTCCCTCCCCCCTCACGTTCGTGGCTCTGTCTCGAGCGGACTGTTTTTTTTTTCACCAGTCGCTTAGATCGACGTGAGGGGTCAATTACAGAGGACTTTATTTTCTCGTCCAAGCAAGGGGTCACAGGGATGTGGGGGAGGGTATCAACACTAGGGGTTGGCACTGGTCGTAGGAGTCGTCGATTACGCCACCAAACTCGTCCATTAGGTAGTCGCACCTCATAATCCCTTGATTTGCCGCAGCTCATATCTGTGCCAACCTTGTCCCAACGAAGTGAGTTCAGGTCCTGGATCCGTAGTCTGTCCTACACTTAACTTGGGCAGGTTGCGGGCGTTCTTATCGTACTGACGTTTAATCTGCTGGACACAGTCGGCAGTTCGGCGATCGTAGTTTTCTGATTTCTCTTTCCATTTCTTCGAGAAGGACTCTGGATGGGAAGGAATACAGAAGTGGAGTGGGCGGCCGTAGAGTATCTGCGCGGGAGATTTTCCTGTGACGTTAGGGGACTTGTGTAGCTCAAGGAGGCCTCTATCAAAGTCTCCGTTGTCCAGGTTGCCAGAGGGCGCTGACTTGACGGCCGCCTCGGCGTGTCCGTTCGACTGAGGGTAATGTGGTGAGGATATCACGTGGTGTACGCCCTATCATTTTATTAAGTCCTGGAACTCGGAGCTGGTAAACTGGGGTCCTCCATCAGTCCTCAAGCGGAAGGGAACACCAACGTCCCTGAAGTAACAGCAGAATATGCGTGTGGTGCGTGATGCTGTAGATGAGGCACCACAGGGAACGATGATGGGCCAGCTAGAGAGTCAATCCGCAATTACCAGGGAAGACTTCCCAGCAACTGTGAAGAAGTCGGCAGACACAGACTCAAAAGGCCTTATAGGGTTATCGTCATTTTGCATGGTCTCTTGCTGTTGGCTGGGTTGCATGACCTGACATGGCTGACAGGCTTGAACAGTGCAGGTGATGTCAGCGTCGATCCCA